ATACTTTCACTTCTTCTGAATGTTAATACTCAAAATAAATAGATCTTTCATCAAGGACACTCATATGTTAAAAAATTCTCATCTATTAACAGTTGAATCAATATTGTTGTGCTGAAGTTTAAGTATTGATTAAGTATCAAACTCTTCTTTTGGACATCGAAATACAATACAAGTTGGTCGATTTTGATCTTCATCTTGTTTTGAATTAGATGAATTTGCTAAAGTACTTCTTTGATCAACATATAATGCATCAAGAACACTACGTACAATATAAATACCAGTACCAAAATCAGTACCTTTTGGATGATCCCATTGTAGTCCAAGACCATTACGACATATAATCGTCAACCTGTGAAATTCAGAACTTATGAGTTGCTTTCAATGGATATTAGTTACAGAACGAACATGTAATGAATGTGTTTCAATTTTACATGATTTTAAAAATTATCTTGAATCATATTTTAATGGTATGATGAGTTTGTTTTTCTTGTTTTCATACTCCTTTATTTAGTTTGAATTCTTGATTCAACTATACTTACTGCTGTTCAAGTATCTCAACGTTATAGAACAAGTGGCTTCTTACCAGATAAAGCCATTTGTGAGTATTTTTCCTACTCATAAATTTGAATTTTTGTCTTGGTTTTTTTAAATAAAGAGTTAATTGATAAAGGATGTCAAAATTTACGTTAACAAGTGAATAATGAAATTAAAAAAAATTATCACAAGAACAATCCGATACATCGAAACAGGATTCAGATATAATTAAAGAAGATTTAAAAGCATTTCAGCTAAGTTGTAACACTGATCACGAATCTGTTAATCACTTAAGAAATCTAAAAAGAAACAAATCCCAGTCACCCAGTCAGACAAAAATTTCGAAAAACGTGTTTTAACGCACAATCGGGAACCGCGACTGTGATCCATTCACGCCCATTAAAAAAACACACGAAAACGCGTTTATTGGCGTTTTTTGTAATGTTTTGGGCATCAAAACGACGAAAATTCTAGTTTTTGAGCGTTAAAACGTATTGTTTTTAAGTTCTAAAATAATACTACGTTTTAACGCTCAAAAACTGGAATTTCCGCCGTTTTGACGCCCAGAAAGTTACAAAAAACGCCAATAAACACGTTTTCGTGCGTTTTTTTAATGAGCGTGAATGGATCACAGTCGCGGTTCCCGATTGTGCGTTTAAACGCGTTTTTCGAAATTTTTGTCTGACTGGGTA